CTTGTCCAAAAACGTAATCTATTAATGGTAAGGGATAGTTGTCTGGTGCATAATCTAAAATCTCCAGTTTTTTTCTTTACTAATACAATTGGTGAAGTGAATTCCGAGTCGCTATTTCGGATAAATCCTTTTTCCAGGTATTAGTCTAACAATTTTTGGAGCTGTTCTTTTTCACTTTATGATAGTCGCCTAGGTGAACAGCTGAATGGCTTTGATTTTTCTATGGAAATTTTCATTTTACATCTGGTAAATGATATTTCTTGGGTTTTTGCAGTACTATATAAATCCTTAAGCATCTTGTCAAACCTTGATTTGGTCTCATAGTTGATATCATTACCGTAGCTATAAACCGGGAATTTACCATCAACTATCATGATGTTTAACATATCCTCTTTAAAGCATTTGAACGTATTATTACTTCTCATTTGCAACATTTATGTTCCTCGCTAATATCACCGTGTCAGCATGGTTTTGTTAAGCGAAGATCGACCACCACCAACCTTCTGGAATTGTCATCTATTGTAATAAATGGATTTAAGAATAAAATGCAGACTGACGTTATATACACTGATTTTAGTAAGGCCTTTGACTCTGTCAACCACTCTCTTCTCTTATTCAAATTATATCAGCTTGGGTGTTCATGTAATCTATTAACTTGGATTTCAAGTTATTTGAATGGTAGGACTCAGAGGGTTATATTCAAGAACGCTGCCTCAAAACTGATCTATATGACATCTGGAGTGCCTCAGGGTAGTCATTTGGGCCCTTTGCTGTTTACTTTGTTTATTAACGATCTTCCCTCTATCATAACACACTCTCGTGTACTAATGTATGCTGATGATGTTAAGCTTTGTTTATCACATAATGATATAGCGTCGGGTTTCAACTTACAGTCAGATATTGATTGTTTTCAGGGATGGTGTGAGTATAACCTTTTAAATTTTAACTGCCTTAAATGCAACGTTATGACTTTTCATAGGGGTACTCCTACTTTTGTTAGTTACTCTCTTCAAAATACGCCACTCGACCGTATAAATTCAGTTAATGACTTAGGCGTTCTTCTGGACCCAAAACTTAAATTTGACTGCCACATAATGTCCACTGTCAGCAAGGCCATGAGTGTTCTTGGGTTTATAAAGCGTTGGTCAAAAGAATTTGATGACCCTTATACAACCAAATTATTATTTACCTCCCTTGTCCGTCCTATTTTGGAATATTGTTCTTCGGTTTGGAGTCCACAATACCAAGTGCATATTGACCGTATTGAGTCGGTACAAAAAAAATTTCTTCTTTTTGCCCTTCGTAGTTTGAACTGGGATCAAAACATAAGGCTACCTTCCTATCAGAGTAGATTACTATTGCTTAATTTACCTACCCTTGCAAATCGTAGAACAATGCTTGGTACTATTTTTATGCAAAATCTTATAAGAGGTGATATTGATTCTGTGGAACTTGTAAACCGCCTAACTTTCAATGTTCCTGTTAGACTAACACGAAATTATTATCCCCTAAATTTGCCACGATGTACATCTAATTTTTGTCTGCACGAGCCCTTTCGCGTTCTATGTAATAATTATAACAACCTTTATCATTTAATTTGCACTTCAACTTCTATCCCGGTATTAAAAACTAATATTTTAACTCATTTGCTTCATTCTTAGATGCTTCTTTTATTTTCATTTGTGTCCCGTCTCTATTTGTTTTTTGTATCTTCCTCGCGAACTCGTATTTTTTTCCCAAATTGATAAAAGGGCCCCGCGCGTAACAAGCACGTGCTTGGTGTCGTTGGGCCACTTGTTTGTACTGCTCGTAGTGCATCAACGTCCATCATATTAAATCTTTCTTGTAAAACGCTCTTTGGCTAGCTTTAAATCTGTTTTCCTAACAGTTGCTGTTTACATTTCTCTTTTGCCAACAGTCGCTTCCTAACAGTCTCTATTCCTGCCAGTTGTGCTTTAACGGTCTCTTCCCCTTACAGTTGATCCTTAACAGTCTCTCCCTCTAACAGTTGTTCCTTAACAGTCTCATCTCCTTACAGTTGTTCCTTAGTAGCATTTCTTTGGCAATCTGTATGGAATCATTTGCTAATTCCGAAGTTGCAAGAAGTTGAGCCATCGTCCCATAAAACAGGTTTAAGTTGTCAGTATTATTATTTAAATTACTATCTTCAATAGTGTCAAGGGTGACTAGATTAATGCTCAACCAAAAAATTTCCATGAAATCTCTTCCCAAAATTGCATCATGTCCCATGGACTCATCAACGACGATTATCAAATCAAAATTAATGTTTATTTATTTTTTATGACAAATAACAATATCATTGAGTTGGATCTTATTTATACCACCATAAAGTTAACTTTAATAATAATTAGTCCAACAGGAAACTAAGAAAGCTTTAGAGTCCATGAGGCATTCGGCAATAATTGGTACATTAGATAAATAAACAAAAAACATTTTTATAAATCTTACATAGTTGTTGCGCTTTTCCTTTGAGGATACTGTCCTACGAAATTAGACCAGGTTCCCTTTTCGGTTTGCGGCAGTCCTTTGCGAAATGCACCTTGGAGTTGCAGTTCCTGCAGCGTAGCTCGTCGTGCGCAGAGCCCTCCATTAACGGCTTCTTTGCTGTGTTGCCTTCAGACGGCTTCGGGAGGCAGATATTGGCGAAGGCTTGCTGCATCTGCACCCGGTCGGTGCTTGCGGGCTTGATCCCTCAAGGTTTTTGATGGAACTCCTTCAATAATTTGCTCCAAAAGCTCTTCTGTGTCCAAGTTTATGGGATTGGCTAACATCATTTTGTCCTCAAAGTATATGGCAAAACGCTCGTTCGGCAGCCATTTGCGTTGCTCGAACTTGCGACGCAGCTCCGACTTCGATGACCATTGGCATAATGAGCTGCTTACACAATCTTCCGAAAGGTTCCAGTATTCTGGTGGGGTTTGCGTGTAACCAACGGTGAGATTTTCCCTATACTTTAGCAATAAGCAACATCCTTAGGCAGTCGTCAGTCAATCCATATAGCTGACCAATGTTCTTCAGGTGCTCCACCAAATTGCGAGCAAACATGTTTTCGTCGAAGCAAATAGCTGCTACTTTAGCGAAAGACAACGAAGTTGCTGATGCAGCCAGGACAGTGGGTGAGTCGGCGCTGGCAGTTGCAATGTTATTGTTTGGTGCTGCGAAAACTGCCGGAGTGCTGCTGTTGCCAACCGATACATTGCCTTGTAGGGCTGGAGAAACGTTCATGCTAGCAGGGTTGATAACCGATTCGTTGTTGCTTGAAGACGGTGAAACGTGTGTGTTGTTGTGCGACAGAATGTTTGCACCGTGGGAGTTGCCACCACCATTGTCAACAGCTTGTTGTTGTTGCTGTTGTGCGGCGCGTTTGCTGCAAATTCTTGCGATGCGCATTAACCTCTTCCTGCAACTGCCGAATGATAGCGAGAAGCTCATGTTGCTGAAGACCGTTTTCGGAAGACATTTCCTTTGTTGCTGATGGTCCATAGTCCGGATCGTTGCTGTCTTAGGCATGAAGTTCATGGTCGGAGACGTCGTCTTGATCTTCTCCAGAATCCTCGTTGGCATCAAGACTTTTCCAAAAATCGTCGTTGGCGTCCAGACTTGTCCCAGAATCGTCGTTGGCATCCTCCTCCGTTGCGTGCCTGACCACGCACTTCGGGTGAAACCCGAGCGAAACGATCCATCAATTCGGATTTAAGGCCTTGTGCTGGCAATCCCAATACGGAAAGCCATTTCTCTAGCTGAACCACCGAATATTCGTTGAAATTCATGGTGTAGGTTTGAACCACTTCTGAATTTGTGGAAGAAAACAACTTTAGGTCGGAAGAAACAAATTAATATTTATAAGCACGTTCGTTTCACCCGACTGTTCACACAAGAATGCCTCTCGTAACGATTGCTTAGAAACTATCAATTCGTCTCTCTTACCAGAGTTATCGGCAATAATGTGACCACCCGATGAGCCTTTTACACTTGTAACTTGTTATATATTAATAAATCACCACCAATTCTATAAAACTGTTGCAATTGCAGTCGATAATGGGAGGGACTTTATCGATAGGTTAGGTCGATAGGGCGGTAGTTGCAACAGCGAGATGAATCTGGCCATTTGAGGATTAATCCCGGTTCGCTCTGGGGTTACCTTAAATGGCACCCATATTTACAATGACCCAATTTTGGGAGAGGCCGTGTAATATGGCGGGGGGAGGAACGATGATCAGCAGATATCGGTATAGTCGCAGCCATATTGTCCAACCAGGCAGATGCAGCTGGAAGTGCTAGGATACATTTTTATGTGCTTAAAATTAAATAATAGTGAGTGATAGGAAAGTTACGTGGTAGTTCATTATTTATTAATAAGCATTTATCATGGCAGCCGGGGTCCCAACACAAAGGGCTCCGGGATATTTACTTGGGAGTTTCACTGATATCTGCGCGACTTCGTCATACGTACCAGCCCCGACTTGGCTGCCAGCAACCGGTATCCGTTCGACCCGCGCAGACGCCCAGCAATAAACGTCTTTCGCAGTCAACGCCGACGACATCAAGCATTTCCCGGTGAGTCCGTTCCGATCTAACACGTCCCCCTCATCTCGGTGACTTCCAGCTGTCGCATCGCGGCGTTGAGAACTACCGCCATTTGGTCGCGCGGCCGAATCTCGGACTGCCCTTGCGCAACTCACCATAGTGCGCCAGTTTTCAGTTGGTGAGACCCGTGTTGCCGCTGACCTCCGGCGAGAAGTCTTCAGCTTGGCTATAATCGCCCTCCAGGCCCGGCCCAATAGTGGCTGAAATTTAGGAAGAATTAAAGACACGTGTACCTTTATTATAAATATTGATATTTACCTTCCTGTTCAATTGTGAACTTGTCCGGAGTTAGACCCGAGAGCCTTACTTATCATCGTTGTTTGCCTAGAATCAAGAAGGTCGCGGGCATTAGTTAGATGGTATAGTTTAGAGTGAAATTACGTACCGTTTTGGCCTGTCCCTTCTTTTCCCCTGGAGCTCCTCAGGATTAGGTGACCCGACACGCGAGCATCGCGTGTGTTCCTCTTGAGAGCCGTGTTTATATGCGAGCTCTACCAATAAGTGGCTGGTAGAGCATAACTTTCCGCGGCGCCTGTATCCTTTTTCCAGCAAAACAAATCCTCTGCTTTGACCGCGTAAATTATGAAGACGGCGGCCAGGTCTTGGTCTTAAACGCTGAGGACGGATAGATCCGTTAAGAGGAGCATGAATATAAATGATTGTACTTACCATATTTATTAAATATTTGTAAAGCCCACAATGTGTGAGTAAGCTTTCCCAGTGAGGGAGATGGAAATGTCGTAGTCGCGAGGATGGGGCTCTTGCCGACATGGGCATCCATGGTTGGGTGGGAGCGCTTGGCTAGGTCATCGATAGCCACCAAATTTAATCCATTTTTCCGTCTGTGTTTGTAGACATTTGCCTTTGTTTACGTTTTTGTCCTTAGTGATGTCCGATAGATTAGTGATGTAAGACAGCGGAGTTGTCGATATTTATGTTGCGAGCTGTGGCATTAGGGGTACTCTGCCCTGAGATAAAACCGGGCTAGCGGCAAAATTCTTAAGTAATAACACAATAAAAAAATATGAACGGACTAAATTTTTATAACTAAAAAAAATTACATTGTAATAGTAATGTATAATACATAAACATAACATTTTAAATAAATTAAGTTTAGTTAATTAAACAATACTAGTGGTCTTTTTCGAAATAATGCTCCTAAAATATTAGTGCAGTCATATGTCGCTACGTTACAAAAATTGTTCCGCCACTATTTTGGTCGCTCGCCGAACGTAACGGAGAGACGCAAAAAATATCGGACCAGCCGAAATTTGTCTCTGAGAGCGCCGGTTGCTGGCAGATTATAAGACAAAGAAAGAGAGGGAATGTCTGTACAAGTATGTGCCGTCTTCAACTCTGCTCCGACTTCTCTGCTGACGTCGACAGCGGGATAATGTTTTTGGCACAAGAAATAAACAAAAAATCTTTTTGTCTTCTGACATGTCACACCGAGCCTAATCCAGAACTGAAGGGCAGTCCGATAAGTACTTAGCCTCACCGCCCGATGGCGTCACTATCGCAAGAGAAATGAACTATCGTGTAGTACATTCTCGTAGATGGCTACTACAGAGAAAAAAGACGAATCGGACTCGTAGTGTTGTTTTGACTGCGTGTGGAATCGGACGTGTCCGAGGACTTTAGAAAAATGGAGAAAGAGGAATATCGGTCTGTGACTCGATTAAAGAGCGCTTGGATGCTGTGTACGGTGACTCTTCTCCTTCGATGGCGACGGTCAAAACTTGGTTTAACGAGTTTCAACGTGGTCGCACCTTTGTTTTTGATGAGATGCGCCCATGTGCTCCGAAAACGGCTACCACGGAGGATAACGTGACAAAAATCCACGATCTCGTATTGGCAGACCGCCGATTGAAGATACGCGAGATAGCTGAGACAGTAGGCACGTCAAAAGACCGCGTGGGTCATATCCTGCATGCAATTTTGGGCATGAGAAAGCTGTCGGCGCGATGGGTGCCCCGTTTGCTCACTCCGGACAACAAACGCAAACGTGAGACCACTTCAGAGCAGTGTTTGATGCTGTTTAAGCGAAATCCGAAGGAGTTTCTGCGTCGTTTCGTGACCGTCGACGAAACATGGATCCACTGGTACACACCAGAGACCAAGGAACAGTCGAAACAGTGGACTTCACCCGGCGAACCTGCCCCGAAGAAGGCGAAGACTGTCCCATCGGCCGGAAAGGTAATGGCCACCGTTTTTTTGGGACTCACAAGGTGTGATCTACATCGACTACCAGGGCAAGGGCAAAACGGTCACAGGGCTGTACTATGCGGAACTATTGGGCCGATTCGCCGCCGAATTGCAGAAAATACGGCCCCATTTGGCGAAGAAAAAAGTGCTCTTCCATCATGACAACGCACCGGCTCACACTTCCGCCCTCGCCAAGGCCAAATTAGTCGAACTGGGCTATGAACTGCTACCCCATCCACCATATTCTCCAGATTTTGCACCTTTTGACTTCTTTTTGATTCCAAACTTGAAAAAGTCACTCGCTGGGCAAAAATTTGCGGCGAATGAGGAGGTCGTCGCCGCCTCAGAGGCCTACTTGGCAGACCTCGAGAAAACGTATGTGGGCGGTAGACAGACTTAAGCGTTATGCGCGTTAGAGTGGGCGTGGCAATCTTTTTTTTTTATCAATCGATAGGTACTGAGGAGACTAATAAATTTCAGTTAACATTTTTTATCTAGCATGAAAATTGTGGGCGCCAAAGGCTTGGGCGGTTTGTGGGCGTTAGCGTGAGCGTGGCACATTGCTGAAACAAACTTGCGCTGCGTAAGAAGCTCAGGAATCTGCATGCCAAATCTCAATAGCCTAGCTCTTATAGTTTCCAAAATCTCAGCGTTCATCCGGACGGACGGACAGACGGACAGATGGTCAGAGGGACAGACGGACAGACGGACATATCGACTCGGCTAGTAATCCTGATCAAGAATATTTTTACTTTATTATACGAATCTAGTATACCCTTTTACTCTACGAGTAACGGGTATAAAAATGGAAGAAAAACCCTAAAAACGGATAAAGGAGGTCATGAGATGAAAAAGAACACCTAATCCAAGCTGTTGCCCATTATTGTGGGACTTGACCGACAGGAAGCAATACCACAACGGGGCAAATCCGCAGAATAGTTAAAGTGCTGGAGGAGATCCACTAGAGAATCCCAGTGGGAAGGAACACCTCCTCCAGCTACTTGACAGCTAAAGCGGAGATAAAGGACGCGCCGACTTCTATTGGGAGGAGAAAATAGGGTCGCCCACTAGGGACAGCTGGAGTAGACATCATAAGCCATTATTTTCCAACCTATTGAGACTCGGAGCTGGACTACAGATGGCGCGGGAAAGATGGCGAAGCATCCGTGGGACGAGATGGAGCCTTAAAATTATAGTTTACATTAGTAAAAGCATTCCTTGAACATTTTATTTATTTATATTTTAATTTCTTGTGCTTCAATTGATTTGTTTTCCGTTTGGCAACAAGCCCAGCTGCTTGAAAGTAAGACCATGCCACATGCATTGCGGGTGAACTTTAAAAACATCGGTCACTATACAAAGAATACGATTTTTCGACTAGTGAAACTCTCAGCCGATCTGAGTTCTAGGCTTTAAGCGTTTTTCAGTTCATGCTGATCGGCATAGGCAAGCCGTATCCGTTTGAAATGCAGAACCTAAAAACTAATTAGAATTTGTACGCTAACATGCGGAATGTTTTCAGCGCTAAATGATTATTTCATTAAGCCTAGTACTCACATCGACGAAAACCGCCAGCTAAACATAGGAGTGAGCGAGAGGCAAATGCGCGGCTAACGCTGTTCTTCGGGTCTAGTTTTCAGCGCGGTACTCAGATGAGCTAAGGAAATAGTAGAAACAAGGAAGAACGCTTTAGTCGAGTACCTCGACTATCAGATACCCGTTACTCAGCTAAAGGGACCAAAGGGAAATGGAGATATGCAAGCAGCAAAGCGAGATTGAAATGCGCCACCTACCCGTGATCTTAATATATGGTTATGTGGGCGGTAGATAGATTTAAGCGTTGTGGGCGTTAGAGTGGGCGTGGCACCCTGCTGAAACAAACTTGCGCTGCGCAGGAATCTCAGGAATCTGCATGCCTAATCCTAGTATTGTAGCTTTTATAGTTTCCGAGATCTCAGCTTTCATACGGACAGACGGACAAAGTCACTCGCTGGGCAAAAATTTGCGGCGAATGAGGAGGTCGTCGCCGCCTCAGAGGCCTACTTGGCAGACCTCGAGAAAACGTATGTGGGCGGTAGACAGACTTAACAGACGGACAAGGCTAGATCGACCCGGCTAGTGACCCTGATCAAGAAAATATATATTCTTTATGGGGTCAGAAACGCTTCCTTCTGCCTGTTACATACTTTCCGACGAATCTAATATACCCTGATTTATCTAGTGAATTTCAATGACGGCCGTTAGCCGCGGACCTAAGAATAAGAAATTTAAGCAATACCACAACAAGCCAAATCCGCAGAATAGTTGAAGTGCTGGAGGAGATCCACTATAGAATCCCAGTGGGAAGGAACATGCCGAGTGGGACTTCGCTCCCTACACGGACCTCTTGCCGGGCGTGTCCTCGCAAGAAAAGACAAAAGAATTTGGTTACGTTGTACTAAAAGAAGTATCTATTAAGCAGAACCACCAGAACCATCTCCCATAAGCCATCCATTGCAGAACCACAGGACTCCACCACCACCAGCTAATTGGCAGCTAAAGCGGAGCTGGAGGATGCGCTGTCTTCTATAGGGAGGAGGAAAAAAGGGCGTCCGCTAAGGGACAGCTGGAGGAGCCGTATCGAGCCATTGCCAGGATGGTGGGCGACTTCCTGCAGCATCAGCGGAACAACCCCGTTCCCAATCCGGTTTCCACTTCCTCAAGGTCCAAAATGCTTATTGGGATTCCGGAGCTGGACTGGCGAGGGGAAAATGGCGAAGCATACGTAGTGGTAATAGAAAAACGCTTTAAGCTACAAATTTACATACATATAAACACTAATAGGTGTTGTATAATATTGGCATGGATCTAAATTATACATTTTCTTACATACTTTTCTAAAATTCTCAAAACTCTATCTTTGAATATAAAAAAAATATTCTATTAAATTTCCACACTTAAAGTTTATGTTTTGTGCGTGCTCATTATTCCCTTGAGAACAGTTTGATTATAAAACTCTTTACGAGGTGCCAATTGAATATCTTTCAATCGTTCAGTTAAATGTAAATAGGTAAAAGGAAATGTACCCTTACGTTTTATCAATTGAAATTCCTCAGTTTTCTCAAAAAATGGCCCGATGGCGTCACTATCGCAAGAGAAATTAACTACGTCTAGTACATTCTCGTAGATGGCTACTATAGAGAAAAAAGCCGAATCGGACTCGTAGTATTGTTTTGACTGTGTGTGGAATCGGACGTGTCCGCGGATTTTAGAAAAATGGAGAAAGAGCAATATCGGTCTGTGACTCGATCAAAGAGCGCTTGGATGCTGTGTACGGTGACTCTTCTCCTTCGATGGCGACGGTCAAAAATTGGTTTAACGAGTTTCAACGTGGTCGCACCTTTGTTTTTGATGAGATGCGCCCATGTGCTCCGAAAACGGCTACCACGGAGGATAACGTGACAAAAATCCACGATCTCGTATTGGCAGACCGCCGATTGAAGATACGCGAGATAGCTGAGACAGTAGGCACGTCAAAAGACCGCGTGGGTCATATCCTGCATGCAATTTTGGGCATGAGAAAGCTGTCGGCGCGATGGGTGCCCCGTTTGCTCACTCCGGACAACAAACGCAAACGTGAGACCACTTCAGAGCAGTGTTTGATGCTGTTTAAGCGAAATCCGAAGG